AGAGTTTGAGGAAACATCTTCCTAGAATCATGTTAACAGAGAGCCACATCAAACATGTTTAACCTTAGGTGCATCGGACATGACTAGCTTCCCACAGTTTCTCTAAAATGCTTTTTTACTCTGCAGCAAGCATTTTAAAATAATATTGTTACATCACAGTATTATTTTCTTTATTGGGTTCTGTTTTTGTGTGTCTGCACCAAAGCATTTTCCAGAGCATTTACTAGAACAGTCATAGGAAGAGAGAGAGCTGATTCAAGCTCCTGGATTCAATGTTATTATTGTTGTTAGGTGTCATCCAGTCGGTACATTCTCTTGGCGACCCTATGCAGAACAGAAGGAAACACTGCCCAGTCCTGTGCCAACCTCACAGTTGTTGCTATGTTTGAGCCCCTTGCTGATGTTACCAGTCCATCTCGTTGAAGGTCTTCCTTATTTTCTCCAGCCCTCCACTTTACCAAACATGATATCCTTCTCCACGGACTGGTCCCTCCATACATGTCCGAAGTATGAGAGATGAAGTCTGGCCTTCCTGGATTCCAAGGAGCACACTCTGGACACACTTCTTCCAACACAGATCTATTTGTTCTTGTGGCAGCCCGAAGTACTTTCAATATTGTCCTCCAATACTTCAATGTTCATGACAAAGTCCATCAGGTAGACCCTCAGATAAGCCAATTTACTAAAAGCTACTACATCCAATCCAAATTCTTTATAAACTTGTTCTAGTCACCTACCAGTTTTGTGAGTGTGTGTGTGTTTGCTGTTCCCTCCACCATACCTTTCTACTCATTAAAAAATAACAACTTGGAGGCATGTGAAATGAGGTTTTAAATTTCCCCCAATCTGGGAGTTGGCTCATCCAACCAATTGTCTGTGTTCCTGGCACAACTGTGAAACCACAGAACTATGCAGTTCCTCTCCACACAAACATGGCGAACCAAGGGCAAGAGGACCTGCCCTCAAGATCCTTCATTGCAACCAGGAAAGAGATTCCTCAAAAGATTCCATGGAAACCCTACCCTAACTTCGTCAGTGCTCCCCATTCGTTTCCCATTTTCTCTTCTTCCAGGACATTCTCCTATGGGGTCAAAATCCCGGTCCCTGACTACTATCCCACTAGTACAGAGGGCAGTAACACAATGGGGGCATTTTCCATGAGAAACTTCAATTGTTAGGTTTGTTGTTGTAAAGTGCCATCAAGTCGATTCCAACCCATAGTGACCCTGTATAGGGCTTCCAATTGTTAGGTATAGATGCAGGGTAATGTTAATGGAATTGAATTCTGTTCATTTGAGTATAGAAAGAAAGAGAACTTTCTGCACCCTAAACATACACACACACACACAAAAAAAAAAAACTAGATCACCGTTTCCCTTGCTTTCCCCAATCTAATCTCTTGCTTACCATATTTTCTGTTTACCATGTTTGCTGCCATAACAAACTGCTTACTGGCTTAAAACAACACAAACGTGTTATCGTATGGTTGTATAGGTCAGAAGTCCAATGAGAGTGGTTCTGGGCTCACAACGAGGCATTGGCACAACTACATTCCTTCTGGAGGCTTTGGGGAAGCCTCTGATTCCCTGCCTTGGTGACTTTTCTTCTGTCTTTAAAGTCAGCAATGTCTGGCTTTGTTCCCTCTGATCACAGCGGGGAAATGTTCTTTGATTTCATGTGATTAGATTGGACTCACGTAGATAATCTAAAATGTTTAATCTCTCCATCTCAAGGACGGTGGTTAGCATATGCAACCTTAATACCTTTATGTAACCTAACATAGCCAGAGACTTCAGGGACTCAGATTTGTACATCTCTGGGGCCATTATTTTGCTGACCAGAGTCAAATGGCCAATGTGCTCAACTACTAACTGAAAGGTTGAAGGTTCTGGTCCAACCAGAGGTTCCTGAGAAGAAAGATCTGTGGATCTACTGAAAACTCAGCCATTGAAAACCCTGTGGATCATAGTTCTACTCTGACACACACGGGGCACCATGAGTGGAATCTGCTTATGAAACATCATCCACTGAGAACCCTGTGGGGCACAATTCTACTCTGAACTCACACAGGGCACCATGAGTGGGATATATTTATGAAAAAGCATCCACTGAGAACCCTGTGGAGCACAGTTCTACTCTGACACACCATGGGGCACCATGAGTGAAATCTACTTATGGAAAATCATCCACTGAGAACCCTGTGAGCACAGTTCTACTCTGACACACATGGTGCACCATGAGTGGAATCTGCTTATGAAATATCAGTCACTGAGAATTCTGTAGGGCACAGTTCTATTCTGACACACACGGGGGTGCTATGAGTGGAATCACTTATGAAAAACCATCCACTGAGAACCCTGTGGAGCTTCGACTCTGACACACATGGGGCACCATGAGTAGGATCTACTTATGAAAAATCATCCACTGAGAACCCTGTGGGGCACAGTTCTACTATGACACACATGGGGGCACCATGAGTGGAATCTACTTATGAAAAATCATCCACTGAATATCCTGTGATGCACAGTTCTACTCTGACACACACAGGGGCCCATGAGTGGGATCTATTTATGAAATATCACCACTGAGAACTCTGTGGAGCACAGTTCTACTCAGACACATACGGGGGTGCCATGAGTGGAATCTACTTATGAAATATCATCCACTGAGAACCCTGTGGGCACAGTTCTACTCTGACACACATGGGGGCACCATGAGTGGAATCTACTTATGAAATATCATCCACTGAGAACCCTGTGGGCACAATTCTACTCTGACACACATGGGGGCACCATGAGTGGAATCTACTTATGAAACATCATCCACTGAGAACCCTGTGAGCACAGTTCTCCTCTGACACACACAGGGATACCATGAGTGGAATCTACTTATGAAACATCATCCACTGAGAACCCTGTGGAGCACAGTTCTACTCTGACACACATGGGGGCACCATGAGTCAGTCATCCACTCCAGGGAAACTAACAAATTCTGCTGCTCAGTGAAAGTCCACTAGATGGCACTAAACAATGTTGTTGTTGTTAAGTGCCAAGGACTAGGTTCCCACCCACAGTGGCCCTGTATAGTGTTTCCAAGGAGCACCTGATGGGTTTGAACTGCCAACCTTATCAGTTCAGTTAGCAGTCCGGTGCTTATGCTACATACAGCAAGCACCACACCAGGACTCCTGGCATTAGTATACCCTCAATTAAATAAACCAGATCCATAGATTTTGATTCCAAGCAACCCCACAGCAATCCTATGGGGCAGAATCAAGCAGCCCCATAGACCCGTGAAGGTTGTAATCTTTACAGAAGCAAACTGCTGCATCTTTCTCCCACGAAGAGGCTGGTGGATTTGAACTATCAACCTCTCAATTAGCAGCCAAGTACTTAACCACTGTGCCACCAGGGTTCCTCATAGTCCTTCATATAAACATCAAATTTCAAGAGAAGATTGGATAAAATTCACTACTGTATTGTCCATGAAAAGAAAGTTCAATGTACAACTCTCCCTCAGTGGGGGCTTTCACAGGTTAGTACAGGAAGATTCATTACATGGTACAGAGGGACTTCCTCAGAGCTGTGTGGCCAGATTAAATTAGCCAGCATTTGGGATGTAAGGGAAGGTCTACAGTCTACACCTGTGCTGACCCAGAGATCAGAAATAGCTCTCTTTGTAAAGGAATGTTACACGTATTGTCCTTCAGGGATGTTTAAGGAAGGGCTCCTCAGCTGAGTAGATGTAAAGGTGAGTATTTCTGTCAAATCCTGTCATCATACCTGAGTGGATAGACGAGGCAGCAGCTTCTCCCAGTAAAGCTTCCAAGGATGAGATAGAGCACAAACACTGGAGTAGCAGAGAGAAGAGATGTGCACGTGGACCGTCCAGAGTGAATCACCTTGTATCAAAATGCCAAGGATGAAGGAGGCAACCCAGAGCACCTGGCCATAGAGAGAGGTCCATCTTCCTCCTAGTCCCCTTGTCCAGACACAGCAGCCTGCCCTATGGAATGCAGTCACTACAGGTGGATGGGATCAGACGGGATGTTTTAGGAGCAAGGATAGAACGATAGAGCATACGGCCCCCAATGAAAGGGCATTGGGGACTTGTGCTGAGTGCCTTTGGTGATATAAAGGAAGGACAGGCTTGGCCAGTGGCAGTCAAAAGGACAAGCTGAGCAAAGCTGTGTGTCTGAAGAACATGGACATTACCTGGGTGAAGAATTAAAGAAAAGAACAGTTGCCTGGGAGTTGATTCTGAATTACAGTGACGCTCTGTATATCAGAATAGAACTGCTCCATAGAGTTTTCTTAGTTGTCATCTTTATGGAAACATTTACCAGGTGTTTCTCCAACTGTGCTTCTGAGAGGATAAGAAGAGCCAAACTAGCAGGTATGCAAACTCAGAGATTTATGACTGTGACATAGGTTAATAACATAGCCCATGTGTCTTACTGAGAGTTTGCACATCACACTGCACGGAAGGGTATCTTACTAAGTGTTTACACATCACACTGAATGGAAGGATATCTTAACTGAGAGTTTTCACATCACACTGAATGAAAGGACATCTTACTGAGAGTTTTCACATCACACTGAAGGGAAGGGAAGGGCAGTGCTGGCGATCTGGAAATTCTTTTCCTGCAGAGAGGGACTTCCCAGGCAGGGGAGTGCTGTCAGTAACAATGGAAGCCCTGTGTGCTCACCGTCCTAAGGGATGATCAGGTATGGCTACCTGGTAGTACTCGTGTGCTGAAGAGCCACAATACAGATACTGCTATCTCTTTCAATGTGTGGGTGCACCAGGGAGCAGACGACTCTGGGAGCCTCACAGCGCCAGCTTAGGGGCTGATACTGGAGGATGGGATCAGTTTGGGGTGGTGCTGCCTTGTAGCTCCACCCCGAGGGACAGTCCCTCCAGACAAAGAAGCTGAAGCTGGGGGGAAACAGAAACTTGAGAGAGCCCCAGAGCAGGGCTGGGGATCCTGGGGCCTTGCCATGGGCCTAATGCTGCTGGCCTGTGCATTTCTCTACCTCCTGAGGTCAGGTAAGTGTCTGCCACAGGTGAGTCCTGGGGTAGCCAGCCTTTGCTAGGGGCTGAGGTGTCCCTCCCTCTCCAACCCTGACTCCAGCCTGTGTCCCCCAGGCCCCACAGAGGCTGGGGTGACTCAGTTCCCGAGACACCGCATCGCTAAACGTGGGGAGATGTTGACAGTAGACTGCATGCAGGACCTCAACCACGACGCTATGTACTGGTACCGGCAGGACCCAGGCCAGGGCCTGCGACTTCTCCACTACTCCATCAATGTGAACTCTAAAGAGAAGGGGGAACTCCCCAACGGGTATCAGGTGTCCCGAGAAAAGAAGGGGAGCTTCCCGCTGACCCTGGAGTCAGCCCTGCCCAACCAGACCTCGCTGTACCTCTGTGCCAGCAGTATGGCCACAGAGCCTCAGGGACACCTGCTCCCTGTGCAGAAAGGACTCAGCCTCCTGAGCTCACCGGGTCCCTGACTCTGCAGCCTCCGGTCACTAGGGCTGCTTAATCCCACACTGCCACGGATACTCAAAGGTCAGGCAGGCTGAACAAGGGAGTTTCTGTGCTGGATGAAAATGCCTTATCCAGCTCAGCATCTTCTGCAGCATGCACCCCCCTCTCTAAGCCATTGTTGCCCAGAACCAACGCTCTGCTTTCAATCCAGCCCCCACTCACCAGATGCACTCCTGGTAGAGGTGGTGTTGGGGGCCAGCACCTCTGGATTGCTTATGAATCTGGCATCTCCTGTCAGCAAACAGCCCCTTTCACACACATACACCCGGGCAGGGCACTCAGTGGTCATCCTCACCAGCCTTGGTCTTGCTTTTCCCACCTAGCTCACAATCACACCCTGCACAGGGCCAATGGCTAAATTTCTCAGCCTTTCACTAGTGGAGAATACAGGGAGGCAAACGTTGCCTTTTACCTGGATTCCTCAAACCCCCTCCCAGGTGGGCAGCAGCCTGCCTGCAAGTGTGCCCCCACCTCCCTGCTCATATCATCCAGCTCCAAACCAGTCCGTGCCTTTCCATGGCCTCAGCTGACTTCTCCCCACCATGAATGTTTACCAACTTCACCAAGACCTTCATGACTAGGCCTTTGCTTACTTGCCCACCTCCCTATCCACCACTTCCCCTCCCCTCCCTCAGCCCCCACAGCATATGCCAGACTCAGGACGTTCCGAGAGGAAAGGGCTGGGCTGGCCTCCACTCTAGCATCAGGAGGGCCTGAACCACATGGACCTGGGCAGGGGCAAAGGCATCCTAGACAATCACCCTCTCTATGTTACTGTGGGAACAGGGCTTCTCTGTGCCCCTCCATGTTACTGTGGGAACAGGGCTTCTCTGTGCCCCTCCATG